TTATAAATTATCACTTGAAAAAAATTGAACTGAATACACCAACCTGTAGTCAAATCATCGTAAGTCAGAAGAACAATAGAAAGAATTTCGTACTGCCAATCAAATCGAATGAAAATATAACAATGATTTAATTTTTGTACCGATGATAGCAACGAATAGTTTTCACTTCGGTGGATGCGAGTTGAAAACATGTTTTTTATTTGTGTCAAAGTGTTGACCATCGATAAGTCATATTTGGGAGACACTGTTTATAATATAACTGTTTATTTTTAAAAAATTCGTGCAATTACCGCCAAAGTGTAATCAACTCTGTAGCTGAAATCGATTTAAGAAAACACACTTTTTTTAATCACATGTTTATTGTTCATCGGTTGTTAATCAAGACAAAACAAGCAAGAAATATTCACAATTTTGAGAGCAAAAATCATTTTTTCTATTTTTGGAAGATGGCACGTTTTGATGCTATAGATCGGATAAAAAATTTCAGTCATGAATGGAATTATCGTGAGTGTGAGCGATGTGGTGTGCGCGCTAACCCATACACGCAAGTAAATAGTGTTTTTGCGTTCAAATTTGGTGCATCATATAGAAGTTAGTGCATGCGAAGATTTCATTCTGAATGATTGGAACAGACATTGTTTTGATTTGCATGTTGAACTCTGACTTTTGCTTTAAATATTCATAAATTGAATATTCCAATTGTAGATGATCTTCCGACATTAAAAGGATTATCCCCATAGGCGATGACGTGCATTGGCATCTCTTTGAAATGATAATATCACATTCAATAGCTCAGTAGCTTCATGAGAGCACTTACACTTTGGAACAAACCAAATTTGCCTCAATGATTGATTTGAATAAATTGCTTATGTTGATTCTTTTGTGATAAGATAAAAAAAATCACCAAATAAAGCACATTTCATCTAACAAATCTTGACATCGAATTTAAACTCAATGGGACTAACAAATGGAAGTAAACAGTGTTCACAAAAACACTCTCAAACGTATTTCTTCTGTTGAATACGTTTTCATTGAAGGCAAATTACTTGCAGAGTAGATAAAATTCATCTTATGATACAAACCTGAAGACTCAGAAATTAAATTTCCCTTCCAAAAAAAAATTGTGTCTCATGAAGAATAACTTACATTTCCCGCATATTCCATGCAATTATAATTGTATTGCTCCATTAATAAATTAACATTTCAGTCAATTGTTTGACATTTATTCAATTTTAAAACTCGCGTTGGAAGCTAGTTTATCCACGAGTAATGAACAAGAAAGCACAATCAAGAAAAACAATGAAGCAGATTTTTCAATAGCAGTCAATGATGCTTTTTATTATACCATGCACAGAAATAAATCGATCGATAGGTTTATTCTCAAAAGAAATAATCTCATTGAATGACATGTTGAAAAAAAAACACTTTATTTTCGCTTGACAAGTTATTCAGAAGCTAATTTCATTCAGAATTTCACTGGATTTTAAGGAAATGAAAACCATGTGAAGAAAAAATGGAAAATGTTCATGAAGCAAGCTTACCCAGCGGTTCAGTATGATTTTAGCGATAGATCATTTCCTGCAATCAAAAGCACACCCTAATTTATTAAAAAAATATTCTACTGCCACTATTCCGAAGAATCACGAACGCGCAACATCGCTCGTTCAATGAATCATTTGGAATGTGTGAAATTTTTATATTGAGATCAGATCATACATGAAGATGAGGAACGATGGAAGCGTTGCATCTCGAGCAATTTTGAGGGCTGTTCAAATGTACGTTCACGGCGCTCCATTCAAGCTTACAGCACGAGCAGTTATATTTTGCACGATACTTTGCGACCGCTGCATAGTTCTTTTGCTGTGAAAAAAAAACGTTTTTCAAAATTAATGCACGCACATTGGACAATGTTATTGATTTTCTATGGAGCAATTCTTTCACTTACTTAATTTTTCAATTTGATTACCACTAATTTTAAAACTCTTTTTAGAAAAAAATGTAGAAATTTACTCACAACTTCAAAGGGATGCACGCACATATGGCAACTTTTGCAATTATCCATTCCGATTGGCTCCATTGATACGGTTGAAAAAGTGCGGAGGCAATTCGGGCATCGATAATACGAACAATATCGATCCATTTTGTTTGCGTGTTGATTTGACCAAGAACAAAACGGAACTAAGTGTATGCTCATTTGTTCATGCAATTTCAGAGTGATGAATTCGGTTGACGTAAGAAAAAAATTGTGAAGAAAATGAAAGTACCGCCCTATGGGAATGAACACAAAGAAAACAAAACGGCAACATCAACGAGCGAGACAGTTGACATTTATTTATCGTTTATTTTAAACCAATTGCAAGCCAACAATTATCGATCGTTCACGAAATTGATGACAATTGAAAACTACCAAGACGAAAATTTCAAACAACAATTTCGACAGTGTTTTGACTTACGATATTTTTTCATGCGTCTCTTGGTCACTGGCTGAAATCGAAACTCAATGTTGGTTTGCTGGGCATTT